ACTAAAGTAACTGTTCATTAAGGCTTCCATCATTAACCCTTCCTCCTAAAAAAATGATGAATGCACTATAGTATATTTTATGTAAGGGAGTAAGGAGGAAGTGGGGACCCTTCTCCTGTGACTGCTTATGGCACATGGAAAGGGATTCAGGCAGCAATCGCTCACCAGTTGGGACAAAATGATCTCAAGGGGATCCGTGTGGCAGTTCAGGGTGTTGGAAGCGTTGGGGCAGAGCTTTGTCGTTTGCTTCACGAATCTGGGGCTTCTCTCGTGGTGGCTGATGTCAATGAAGAGGGTCTGAAAGAGGTTGTGCGTCAATATAATGCTGAAACCGTTGGGGTTGATGTAATTTATGATGCGGATGTCGATTTTTTTTGCCCTTGTGCTTTAGGGGCAATCTTAAACTCTGAAACAATTCCTCGCTTAAAAGCGTCTATTGTTGCAGGGGCAGCCAATAACCAGCTTGCAAGCCCAAGTCATGATGCTCTTCTTTCAGAAAAAGGAATTTTATACGCTCCTGATTATGTGATTAATGCAGGAGGGCTGATTAACGTGACGTATGAAGGCCCAAATTATAATCGAGAAATTGCCTTAAAACACGTGGATGGGATTTTCGATACCTTAACGGAAGTTTTCCAAAGAGCGGTTGAAAGGAATATTCCCACAGGTCAGGCTGCAGATGAAGTTGCTGAACAGCGTTTTTCTCACCCTTGTGATAACGGTGATTATGATGAGCTTATGGTCTCTAGCGGTCGTCTTTCTGGTCGTTAAAACGATCTTGGGAAAAATTTCTTTGATAGAAACTATATGGTTCCCACATAAGTAAGGTCACCTTTGTCTAGAGAGATCTTTTACAAGCCATAAAATTAAGTCGTCATCTAGGCGTACATGGCTGCCTGGTCGTATAAAGCATAGTTATATGTGACGCCTTTTCCATCAGGGATATAGTCTCGTTTTATGTAAAGCTTTTGAGCTGCGCCATAATCACTGTAAAGTCCCACACCAATGCCAACGATGTCACTTTGCGTCGTTGCTGTATTTTCAGCGACTTCTATTAATTTTGAAGCAATTCCGAGTCCACGGTATTTTGGAAGAACGTTTAAACCCATAATTTCTGGAATATTATGATCTGAAAAAGGTTTGTATTGAGATTTCCATTTTAAGGTGACATATCCTGCAAATTGATCCTCTGCATGAGCGATCCAAATGATTCTTTGATTTTTTGATTGTTCATGAAGGTATTGCTGAAATATAGAAATTGGTTTTGGCCAGTTGGCTTTTGAAAAGCCATTAACAATCGTTTCTAGATCGCGATCCAACAAGTTTCTAATGGAAACCATCATAGAAAATTTTGAGACACTTAATATTAAGGAACCACTGTTATTATAAGGGGGTTCTATCAAATAGAAAAGGGAGCAAACGCTCCCTTTTCTATTCTTTGGTGTTTCCTTGTGTTTCAGAACTTTCATCCGTAACGATTTTATATATTCGTGGAGCGTTATTTGACTTATAACCTACGGTTGGCAACACTCTAGATGGAAGATGCTTTCTTCTTGCTGAGCTTTCTTTCGTTTTCAACTTCAAAGAATTTTCTTTTGCTGGGGGATTGGGCAGAGGTCGTGACGTTTTTTGGCTCGGTGGTGTCGGAAGAGGTTTTGGAGTTTTCGAATCCAGTTCTTCAAGGGACGCAGAGGCAAAGTAACATGCTGAAAATGAGATAAACAGAAATGTGAAAAAGGCTTTTTTCATTATTTTTTCCTTTAATTAAGAATTTCTTGAGAAAGAGAAGTTTATT